TCTTCTCCCTCTTTTTGCCGGCTATGGTGGGCCGCTACTTAGTTTTCGACGAAAGGACGCCGAAGGCAGACCTACTGTTGATGCCCAAAGACCTGCATGACCTCCAACATCGCACATCTGTTATGTCGCGCTATCCACTTCCCTCAACACCTCCCAACACGCAGGATTTTGGGTATTCGCATAGGCCCTTTGTTTCAGCCCCTCTGTCAGTGCATTATTAAAATTAGGGGTGTCCTGTGAACTGTGGGGACGTTCAGCGCGATGCAGGATTTGGCGCATCGATCGTAGAACTCGTAGCCGCGAGTCATTCAACATTAGGAGGCTCTGAAGATCTAAGTAAACGAAAGAGCGATCACAGCCCTTGTGTTCACCTCGAGTTGATGTATTCGAGCTGCTCAGTGTAAGATATCCTGCAGCCTTAGGCTCAAGCCTTTGCATCAAGCCAAGCTGAGACCAATCGGCCTTCGCCGTCTACTGATGTGCCAACTGGCAACAGTGAGGCGGATTTGAGAGAACTTCCAGCCGCGATCCAGCGATGCCTCCGTGAGGATTTAGCGGTTTAGGTCGCTGCAGGCTGAGGGCTGCGGAGTGTCTGAAGGTTTAGGGGGCACCCGTAATTAATTATGCCAGTGTAGTTGCTACAAGTACTCGGCATTCTTTCTGGTACTGCTGCTTTCCATGCTGATGTTCGGACACGGATGCTTTCTACTCATACCTCGGGCTGGGGCTTGAGGGTGCTGCCCATCAGGACTCAATCGGCATCCTTACGCTGACTCATGACATCGCCCATCATCCGTCAGGACCAGGCAACCGCACCCTCTTGCTAATATTGAGCCCGACACGCCACATGACTCCTGCAAGATGTTTGCAAGTGGAACCTGCGGCCCTTCTTGGCACAAGACATCAACATTAAGCAGGGCGTGCAGGGTGCTTGTCTCCCTTACTGCTCCAAAAGTCGTACAAGATTTCCTCTATCAGCAATATCTAAACTCTACTCCAAACCTTATCTTCAGTGTATCGTCCAACCCCGAGCCCTAAGCCTCACACTCCGCAGATCGACTGTCAGCCCTAGCCTGAGATTGAAATCTGGCGTCGAAAGCCAAACAACCTCTTCGCGTAAACGCACAGAACTTCCAAACCGTGACCGGCGTTCCCGGATACCCCAACCTCAAGTCGAGACGTTTCCGCTTGATACACTACAGTACTTGTTACTCTTCCCGGACGCGCTTCATCCTGCCTGAATGCTCGAATCCACCAACTGTCTGCCGAGGCCAAGACCCCGGTGGCTGTTCTGGACCTTCGGGTGCTTATAGGCTTCTTGCACCAGCGAGCTTTAGGACCCTTGATGTTTGTGCTGTTGCTTGGAGGCTCTGGTATTGCGGCGGCTCTTGGGTAGCTGACAGCATGGCCCGAAAGTACTCGTGGACTTTCGGTCTGCTCGGCAGGCAAGGTCATGTCTCAAAGGCACGCGTGCCGAGAAACTCATTCTGTTTCGCAAAGATACAAGGCTGTCTTCCGAAGTGTGGGATCAAGCTGTTCAGTGAAGTCCTAAAAGGTTCAGACTTAATTTGAGAGGTTGGTCTGACGGACTCGGGAAGTTGGCGAGTAGGCTATGACTCATTAGCTGCATCGCTTGCGCTCATGAGCCGTGTAACAGCCTGCTTAAGCAGCAGGACGTTGAGCCTACAGTGTCTCCGTGCATCATTACCGAGACACTGCATGGCTTCGCTATCTAATTGCGCCTTATTCAGGCACTCGAGGTGCAGGTCATGCCACTAATGAGCTTTCAGTGTCGTCTGCTGCTGCTTGTCGCAGCCCGCTCGCTGCTGCTCGCTATCACAAGCTGTCACAAGCTGTTACACTGTTACTTCTACTGCTTGTCTATTTGCTTTCCACGGACCTGCCATTCATTCCTTAGAAGTTCCCACCTCGAGCCCATAAAGCCATTATCCTGCAGTAACCTGTACACACTCGGCTCCACGGAAGAGCTTGCAAGACATTTTTCGATCTCGAGGAGATGGACTGAAAGCTATCACGGATTGAGCTGAGCTTGCCGTTTGGGAAGCAGCTCGGGTTCAGTTTGGGAGTCGAGGCCTGCGGGCTCTGCATCTTATGTTAGGAATTGCGGTCATTGCGGTTGAGCTGGGATTCCTGAAGGTTGGTTTCGGGGTCCGCACAGTCGCACTGAGACATGGCAGTAGCTCCAGGTGCAAAGTGGAGGGAACTCAGCTCCTCGCCTCCCTTTCCCGAGCTCCCAAGACCCTGGAAGAAGCCAAGGGCACCACACCTGGCCTTGATGTAAGCGATCTCGATCGTTTGTTGGGCCTGCAGGAAGCCGCTTCCGAGTCGGGGAAATTGCGGAACATCCAGGATCCCGAAGGCTCTGGATTTGAGGGATTGGGACCTCCTACTCGGGATTTCTGAAGTTCTATCTTGGCGTTTTGAAGGAAGCAATAAACGTGCAGCGTCTAAGAGTCTATAAGGCAATCCTTCAAACCGAAACATCTCTTCGTTGAGCCAAGAAATGCTGTGCACTGCTTGTCCCCAACCCTCCCAGACGGGGGCCCCTCGAGGGGGTTGGTGTTGGGGGCAGGTGTACTCGGAAATAGGTCCGGAACTTATATGTGGAAAATGATGAGGCAGGGACGGTCTGACCACTCTCACCGGATCTAACTATGATCTGTCCCAGGAACCCACTCCGGGCCCGATTTCTGTTACGCGACCCTCCTCCAAGCCAAGCTCTAAGCCCAAAACCCTGGGTCTCCCTCTCCTTACACTGCGCAACTTCAAAATGAACAAGATGGTCTGAAGAATTTAAGGCGTGAGGTCATAATGTTGAGTTCACTGTAGGGTTTAGATTTCTCGTGCAGCTGGTACACGGGGCAGCATTCGTCATGGCCCTATGCCGCAAAGCATCGTCAACTACAGCCCAAATGACCATTGCTGGACGCATACCTACACTCCGACAGTCCGAGGTAGCATAGTTGGTTGCACAGCTACCAGATTATACCGTATACTGTATCTTTTACTTGTGTTGCTCGCGACGCCTGTCAGATCTCTGAACCGTTCAATGGTCAAGAAGAACGGGCAACTTCTTACTGGAGCCTCGTAATACTGCATGTGGATGTAGCCGAGAATTTCGCGGGTTGTCGCATCCACTCCAGCAAGCCTGCACAGTTTCGGCCAAAACAACTTCGGTGACAGATTGGTGGCTGGGGTTTTTGGGACCCTAGACCCCCTGCGGTTCGTTCCGGCCCGGTTCACGGCCTTCTTAGGCTCCGGTTCAGCGGCCCAGGCTTCTAAGCCCTAGGCGTTAACATGTTCACCTTCACTCACCCGCTGCAGCATTTTGGCTGCGACAGGCTTGGACTTTCAGGATCACGGCTTGCGGTTCAAAGACAGGAGATAAAATAGCAGGTTCAGACTTTCTGATGTAGGACACATGGGGATCGAGAGTCTTTCTGGGCGTACTAGTAGCGATACACACGGAGACGATTGAACCCGCAATCGACTCGGCGGCCGAGAGGCACATACTCGCAGGCATTGGGCTGCTGCTGGTCCTTAGCTTCGACAGTGACCGCCTATGATGTAAAGCTATTGTAGTAAGAGAAGGACCGTGAAGAGGAAGCTGCAAATGAAGGTCAAATGACTATCGCGTAACTACGACGGCGATGGCCATGACAATGCTGCGAATGACGAAGCCTGTGCTGCTGCCTCTGGTCACAATGATTACCCTGGTGGGCTTAGAAGATGGATGGTGATGACAATGGTGTTTCTGGTTCCGAGACTGTGCAGTCAGTACGGTCATCACCAACTACAACAGTCTGCCTCTCCTGTCATCATCGTTTTCAGCTTTGTGTCTCGCCTTTCATCTGCATCCACGAATCACCGAACACTATCATGCTCATATGATAAGTTCAGGCTCTGTGAGCAGCTCCACAAAGCGCTCCTGGGCATCGATCTCCTCAAGGGCAGGGCGAACATTCGACCATACAGTCCTAGCAAGCGGCCTTGCACCTGCTGTGGAAACAAACTAGTAGTGCTGCGAAACAACTAACAGGAATGAACCTCTCCCCTGGCTCCTGTAACTCCACGGTCTTCGTTAACGTACGGGGCAGTGTAAACTTTGCTCCTTCTTGTCTGACTGTACATACATCTGCTACAACTACCAGACACGCACACCTCCTCTTGGACGCCAATGAACGATGCCCACTCCCCAGGGCAGGTCCTTTGCAATGCCAAGCTCGTGTAAAGCGCGTGTGTAAGCACATGTGCACTGACATGCACCGACCCTCTTTTTGCTTTATTGAGTCATGCTTTCAAGTGATGTCGGGCTGCAGGCTTCGAGCTGGGTTGGAAGTCTAAGGTATATTATATATAAGGTATAAGGAGTCGTTTACAAAAAGGATGTTTGACATGTGGAAGGTCTAAGGAGGGCCACACATCCGAATCAAAGTCCACATAATGCCAGAATGCATAGTGCAACACAACAACACCCTCGCCCCTTCGCCAAGCAGCGCAAGGATGAGCTCAGGGAAGAACTGCGAATGGTCCTGCTGGAACCCAAGCCCTGGATGTCAGACTCACTGCTGCTGGAGAACACGAGAACTTACAGCCCCGCTCGTCAGGATAGAAACCGAACTCAGTCATAAAGTTGCAGCAAGCCTCGGGCGAGATCGGACATTATGAAGATGGCCGGCACCATGAATGCAATGTGCTTGCTGGAAAAGGACAGGTAGTATGGAAGAGAACGATCGAACATGTCCGGGTCAAGTGTCTAATTGATGTTTTGACGCTTGATGCATGCATGGTATAAACCGGTCGATATTGTAGGTATCTGTATGCATGCATGCATGCATGCATGTATGTATGTATATGTGTATGTATATATGTGTATGTATATATGTGTATCTGTGCATGTGTGCATGCGCATGTGCGCATGTGCGCATGCGCGCATGTACGTATGCACGCATGTACGCATGTAGGTATGTAGGTATGTATGTATGTCTGTATGTATGTCTGTATGTATGTATGTATGTATGTATGTATGTGTGTATGTGTGTATGTGTGTATGTGTGTATGTGTGTATGTGTAGGTGTACGTGTATGTGTATGTCTGCATGTGTGCATGTGTGCATGTGTGCATGTGCGTGTGTCTGTCTGTCTGTCTGTCTGTATGTATGTATGTATGCATGGATGGATGGATGGATGGATGGATGGATGGATGGATGTATGTATATGTATAATCACACATGCACATACATGTACACCCCCATGTCTCTATATCATATCTCTGCGCATAGCGCATAGCAAACATTACTATGCCCCGGACTCTAGTCAACAGGACTTGTGACTGTCTAGCGAAACTGTGACGGTTTTGTAGCAGAGGAAGTCAGGGCCTTCACCAGCCCAAGGAACCGAAGCTCAGCAATGAAAACCCTCGAGTCACAAAACCCGACATCCCAGCCCAGAACGAGACGAATGGATTCGTTGAGCCAGACAAGGTCCTGACACAGCTCGCGCTGCAAAGTACGGATTTTCGGTGCTGCAGTCACGGGAGGCACCTTTGTGGCTTCTCTGTAGGCTAAAGCTGAATCATGGAATTTGGGAAGACAACCAGGCCCCGGGGCAAAGCTCGGAGACTGAGTCTGGAGAGCCGCGTTTCGGACACGTGATTCCGGCTGGATGCGGGTCCGCGGTGTTGTCACTAACACCCGTCTTGATTCATAAGGAAGGCGAAGGATACCGCCAGGGCCGGGGCCGCCGGGGCCGGGCAATTGAGAACCTGTAACGACAAGCAGAGTAAGTACCACCAATGCGCCCATCTCCTCTGAGAGATGAAAGCCGTCAAGACACTAGAAGGACCCTGTGCAAGTGACCATGGAGGCCGCCCAATGTGCCTTACAGCCAAAGTACCAGACCAAAAAGCCTAAAATTCGGGAAGTGCCAGACCAGACACCCAAGACCCAAAAGTGCGGCTCGGCCAAGTGGCCTGGACCATGAAGCCATTCTTGGCAGAGTAGATCTTGCCCTGACTTGGAAAGATCTTCCCGCCATCGCCATGCCTTGACAAGCCCGCTTCTCACCAAATTGGGGAAAAGGCACTTGCCAAATCCCAAAGACAAGAAACCAAACTTCGTGATTCCCCAAACACGATGTCCGCCCGACCTTGATGCCCTGCCTTTTGCGGCCCCTTAAGGTTTTCGGGCTTGGCAAGCCTAGGCGGTTCTTGACCAGAGCTTGAAGCCCCCATTCTTGCTGCAAGTTGTCAAGCAAATTCGAAGGTCTGGGAAGCGAGACTGGAATCTGTTCGACTTAGCAGGCTTAGCATTGCGAGCTTGGAGGTTGCCATTGCCTGGCTGAATTGGGTTGTGGCTTTCGTCGCCGGCTTATCGTGGTTCTGTTTCTGTGCCCTCCAGGCAGGACCCCAAACCCTCAAGCTTTCTCCCCTCTGCATCAACTACTGCTTCGGCTCTGTGGCATCAGCCACTACAGTACTTATACTTCCACCACCACCGCCACCAGCACATCCGAGACTTTGGCCGAGGTACGGCTCGTCTGGATAGACCCAATACCGCAAGTAATAATCGCCCTTGCACTTCTCCGAGCCCAGACCTGTTCCAGGAGGCTTCAGGGTCTTGTTCTAGTCGTGCCTGGAGTGCCTTCCGCTTCAGGGCTTGGCGGCTGCAAGTTTCAAACGGGCTGATCCGACAGACGAGCTTAGGGGGCGCAGCTATCTGCTCCTGATGTTCTGGACGTTGATGCCAGTTGTGGCTCACGGTTGCTGACATCCAAGCTGCAAGGGAAAGGATCCAGGGGTGTCCCATCTTGCATTATGAGGGTTGTCACTTTGTCGAGAGAATCCCAGCAGAATGTCGTCTTGTCAGTTCTTCATGTGAGTTCCTCGCTGAAACTAAGGATTCTTGGAGGGAAGCGAACTGACTTAGGATATGGGTTCTTTCTGAAACCCCCGAGCCCTGCCCGGCACACCACGCAGCAGCTGAGAAACCAAGGCACTGAACCTCACGGACCTGAAGGTTGCTAGAACTTGCTGGACTACTAGACCAAGACTTCCATCTGAAGCTCTTCGATGCCCGCAACCCTCGAGCCCAAAGCCTTTCAAAGAGCAGGAACGAACGTCAAGAACTACGAAGCCCAGTCCTTTGAAACGTTTGTAGATGGGTTCTGGCTCCCGATCCGATCGCAAGCGCTTGCGACCTCGGTTCTGCGGCGAGAGGCCTACATCCATGGACCTTTACATACGAAGGTTGCGTACAGATTTAAGCCTTTCCTGGTGCTCCAGTCGCACCCTCTTGATACAGTCCACTATCTCGGCTTGTGTCTGTCCGTTGTGCACGTATGCTTGCTACAAGACGGGGGCATTGTTGTCTTCGCACCTCCGACAAATGCAGACAGTGGACACCACCAGCTTTGTGGGAGTTTCGTTGTGACCAGACCCACCTTTTCAAGTTTGCGGCTCAGTCTTGCAAGTGAATACTTCGCGTGTGTCCTACCTTGCAAGGTCATGGAGCTTCAACCGAAGGTGCAATTAGCAGTATGCAACTGTTGAAGTGAACCTCCCCGATTGGTTGGCCTAGATTGCAGAAGTTTCGCGGCCTCGCGAGGGTTTATGTCCAGGCCGTTGCTGTAGGTGTTGGAGGACGTGGATTATAGCTGTATATAGTGCCAGCAACCATTGCGCAGGCTCTACATTGAAACCTTGACTGCAGTGCCAAACTGATGCAAAAATGCAAATGGTGCACAAGCAAGGACTACACACTGTAAGCCCAAAGACTTGAAATCCCAGAACAGAACCTGGGCAGCGAAAGATTTAACCGGCGATTTCGAGCCCTCATTCGTGCTCATGAGTCGGGATGCCACAGGTCGCACCCCAACACCCTACATATCCCACCCCAGACGATTGAAATCCTGAACCGAACCTAAATCAAAGGCCACAGCCCACTCCCGCTCACGAACCGCAGGTTCAAGTCCCAGTTTCTGTGTGGAGCTTTTGCCGCCGGGATTGTGACGCCACCTCGTGCCTGCGCTGCGTAAAACGCCTGCCTTGGCAGACTTGTTGCGGGATCCTCGCTTGGGCGCTTCGGGTTGTGACGCTGCTGCCAGTACCCCTGAACCTCCAGGTAGCATCATCGGCTCTGTTTGGTTCAACTGCATGGACAGGTGCCTGTCCGTGCTCTCTGCTTTGACCTGCCTACTGTGCCTGCCGCGAGTCTGGGGATCTGGGACTTTCGAGCCGAAACGTTGAGTTGCTGAGTGACAGGCTTGGCTAGCTTTGGCTAGTCTGTGCGTAAGATTTGACTCCACGTATTTGCTTTCATCCGGCCTGCTAATCCTGAAGCTCAAGACGCACAATGTGCCACAACCACAGGCTCTGAACTTTAATTTCAAGTTGTGCTGCCTGAAGATGGGATCTGCATAGAGAACCGGCCGGCGCCCTTTGTTGTCCTGGCTGCTGTGATGAAGGGCTTACCCGAGCCACCTGAACCTGCAACACTCCCATGGGCGCTTTTCAGCGCCCACCCCTGCATCCAAGCCTGGGCTCCAAACGCTGAAGCTTCGGAGTTTAAGTCTAAGAACGGTCGTCCAAACTATGCCATAGCCACAATTCAAAAGCGCCCAACTACTCAACAATCTGCCCAAATCCGACAGAGGCTTTCGAAGTCCGCGGTCCACCAAAACGCAGCCCTGCACAGCTCCAGGAGTTTTAGGACTTGATGGTGTTCATCATCTGCACGGAATCATTTTCCCTCAAATCCAAGCCTCGACCCCTGGAGTGTTTGATCCTCGGAAGGAGCAGAACAACAACCCGCTCGCAAGCTCTCCTGGTAGTCCAAATTGGCTCCATGGCCTCAGCTGAGTGCGATCGTGCATCCATGCAGCACTTCGCCTCTCCTTACTGCTCCCGACGAACCTTACTCTGTGCAACTTGTATCGCCAGCGAGTGGTGTACATCTCCCGTGAATCGCAATATTCAAACTCCTTTGCGGTATGGTTCAACTCGATATTCATGGATTGGTCGCGTTATGCGTTTGCCATACTCACACATCAGGAATTATAGGTTCACGGCTCTGGCTTTTTTTGGTGATTGTGTTGCAACAAAACAAGGCTCTTGGTCTCCTTATGCTATGGCATGCTAGGACATGGCTCGTCAACTCGCACAGTCGGAATTGCAGAAATCTCCTGACCCAGTGTCTTCACATTAGAGGCTTGATTGTTGCTCTTACACTAAGGACTTTGGGTTCAGGGTTAAGCGCTGTTGGACCAGTAAGCTTCCATCACAGCCTCTCGAGCCTGGCCCAGTGATTTGCAATTGTGCATCGTGGACGTCCAGGGAAAAGGGAGCGAAATTCACTGGGGGATCGAGGTTTGTGATTTTTGCGCTCTTCAGTCCCCGCATAGATGCTTCGCCCAACCGTCCAACAACGCCTTGCGAAAAAACGGCTGCCAAGTGGCTTAGAAGCAGGTACACCATCTCTAGCTGGGACTCGTAGAAGGCAATGCACAAGGGCGTCGTCCCGCTCGTGTTCCTTCAACACAGGCCGAGATTCATCGCTACCACAAACCCCGAAAGCCTCACTTTCAGGCCTGCCTTCACATGTGACTCACAACTAATTACTTCCACACAACCCAGAATCTATCATACTGCGGAATGGCAAGCTTTCCAAGCACTTCTATCATGCGATATACCAGTGACGATACTGACGATCCAGCTGTCGTTGCTTTCCACCATGACGATCAATGTCGCGATTCGCAGCAGGAAATACGGCCTGTCACGCTCTTATTGCAAAACAGTTGCAATGGTAATGAAGATGATGAAGTCTCCAGTGTTATCAGAGTTGGCCGAACCACCCCGAACTAAACCCCGAAGCTTAAGCCTGCAAATACAGCGAGCCGTAACGCTGCTCATCAGAAAGCCCGAACCCCGAGTAACCAAAAAACCAACTTGTGTTGAATCTCAAGCTCTATGCCCAAGGAATGCAGTAACCTCCTGCTTCATAGTCTGACTTCCAACACCGAATAGACACCCCCCTGGTGTAGCAAGACTGAGATTCACTGCATTGACATCGCAGCCATTCTCAATGAACCACGTGGCGGTTTCGAGGTTCCTTGGATGGTTAAAGCTTCAATTGCGTGGTGAGATTGCTCTCGTGCAGAAATCGTTTGGACTGTTATTTTCTGGGCGCCAATTCTCTGCGGCTTCAGGTCTCTTGTGCTCCAATGAAACTCCATGGGCCACAGTCCAAACTGCCTAGAGCCTGGCACCTTGTGGCTTTGGGCTTGCCGAGGCTCTCGGCACGGACCGCCTCGAAGAGCGCAGTCTCGTTCCTGAGCTGGGGAAAATTGGAACGTTAAGGCAGTCTGCAGGTGCTGACTTCCAAGCCCCAGTCCTCTGAACCTCTGTGCTCCAAAATATGGCTATACCTGCTGTGGTATTCGCGTCGATCGCAAGAGCTTCTGGCAGCCTCATCGTCCTAGTCAGGCCCAGGCTCCGAGGCGGTATGTACGTCTGGGTTTGGGAGCTCCAGTCTTACGAGGCTTTGACTTGCAGTTATCGGGAGGTGACGTTGCAGATGCTCCTGAAAGTAAACATAAGGCTGAGGCGCATTCTGGTTAACACATGGTATTTACTGGCCCGCAATTCTCATGCAAGAACCGAAGAGCAATTCAAGGTTCAGTGTTTGGGTCTCAGGGCTCCCTGCAGTGACATGAACTTTGAAGTCCCCACACCTTAGCTGCGTCTCCATTTCCTCACACAACTGCATCTACTTCGAATGGCACAGAAACCTTTAAGATTGAACCAACACCCAAGGATGCGCAAGAGAAGCCGGAAGTAGTCAAAATTCTGCGAAGGCACCGGGACGTTTTATGGGTAGCACTCAGCCCACGTGAACGGAGCAGCTTGCACAAGTCCACTCCATAGCCCTTGCTCGTGGGCCGACCTGGGATTGGGGCACCCTGGTCTTGACGATGGATTTTATCTTCGTTTACTTCTTGTTGCTTTCACTACTGTTGATGTTCTCTTTCGGGATATCTTTTTAACAGCATCTGGACAGGTGCAATGCGTGTTCAGACGCTGGCGGTGACGTAACCACGGCACTTTTATAGCATCCAACATGCATCTCGGTTGGGATTGCAGGGGCAACGGTCGCTTCAAAGAGCGATGCAAAGTCTTTCTCTGAAGCAACAAAACGGTAAGAGCTTCGCCGGACTGGGATTACTCCGTGAAGCTGAGCTTCTCTCATCTTTGCTCATGCTCTGTGTTGGCGTTGTGTAGCATCCCCAATCCCAATCCCTTGAGTCCCGTAGCGAATGAATCACCACTTGCTTTCGTACTTGCAACATGCACCACATTGGGCTTAATGAGGTTAAGGGGTGCTTCTTACCGGTCACTCATGTCTGCTTCTAGGCGGTACGGAACAGCAGAAGAATGAAAACCTAAAGCATCGTACCTTGAGGATTCAAGTAAGACTTCTTGGACGATGTAAAGCTTTGAGGTGCAGCGAACGTGCGTTTCGGATGTAGGCTCAGGCTTTGAATTTCGGCTGTTTCGATGCTTCGAAAGTCGGTTTCAGGGTAGAAAACAGAGGCGACGGTCCGACATGTAGCAATCTGCAGGCTTCACGCGCCGGGTTGCAGCTGGCCAGCTTGGATGTTTGGTTTAAGTTGTTGCGACCATGCGGCCAGCTGCCGCAAACAGCAGCGTCTGTCCATCTGTTGTCTTTTCCTGAGCACACTCTGCAGATGGGTGGGTGCAACACCTTCGAGCTCAATTCAAACCCACCTGCTAAGCCCCTGCTTCAGCACTGTACCCGCTGCAGCCCGGTTCCACCCAGACATCTGACATCAGCAAACTGCTGCCAGGTGTCTCGAATGTCGGCCTCGTTGACGAGCCTAATGGCCGTCGGCCGTGCTGCGGAGCGCAGCTTCGCGAAGTTGTCCTGAAGGTTTCGCTGCATCTCACGTACACAACAAAGCCTTTGCAGCACGATGCAAACAAAGTCCATCTGCAGAAGCCCTTGCTCCAGTTTCCGCTGGCATGGTATAAACTTGCTAAGAGTCGCCAAATTCAGGCTCATGTAGCCAGACTCCATGACCGCATACAGAAAGGCCATCTAAATTTTGCTTCAATGGTCCAGCAATTATCTGCGCGTGTTTCACCGAATCTCGGGCTTGAAGTTTCATGGGGACCGAGCCTTGGAGGCTTTACTGCTTGGTTTTTAAGGTTTGGAGAATGGGCCGTCGGTGCATACGTCCGGTTGTTCCAGGTGTCGGGTCAACTTTGCGTTCGATTCACGTTGTCTTTATTCGGTCAAGAAATGACGGAAGGATTCAACCCTTCAAATTCAGGACATCCAACCTGCGGGATGACTTCTAAGCACTGCGCACGGCCAAGACGCAACCACGCACAGCGAGCCCAATCTTTGATCGATTTCCGACACCCCAGGAGGGGTCCTGCAGCGCCGTCTTGGCGGGTGCCATTGCCAATGGCCATCCACCACGATGCCCCCGGGCCAACAGCTGCGAGATGTGAGTGATACACCCAACCTGGAAGCCTAAAGCGTGAATGCTTTGGACCTGCTTGAAACACTACCAGGTGAAACCTTAAAACTGTTTCATGCGCCTTTCATTCTCGTTCTCTTAATGTTTGCCTCTCTCTGGCTCTCTTCCCGTGTGCCATGCTGAATCTCTTTATCCTTCCTCCGTTCCGTACTCACTCCGCCGTCGCACATGCTGACAACATGTTCGAACGTTATTTGTACTTGATATTGCTATCGTTGTCGTCGTTGTTGCTGCGGCTGCTGCTGCTGCGTCCTTCAATGAAGCACGCATGAATCATGCATAGGCGCACCGTTCATAGCAGTCTACCGGGTTGGATGTGCCGCCATGCTCGTGGACTATTGGCACTATACACGAAACTTTCATGGAGCCTTGTGGTTCACACACCCGAAGATTCGTGCCGGCTGATGTGGGCCTGCATTGACGCAATGATAGCAGGACACATCGTTCCTAAAGAATCTAAGGATTAGGTGTGCCAAGTTTAGGGTTGGACGGGTTGGCGGTTCAGATGCATCCATCCTCGTCTTGCAACTCAAATGTCAACACCGCACCGCCGGGCAACAGCCATGTCAAAGTGCTTAATGTGCTGAGCGCCTCTGAAACATCGCTCGGCCACAGCTCTCTTAGAGTCAGGTGTATACTCTGTTTGGGGATTTGCACTGGTAAAACAATCTGGTCGAGGATAACAAGAGGCCAAGAAGTTTCATTTCAGGAAAAATCAAGCTTGGATGGTTGTGGTGCCAGGGGAGTGTTGGATGAAGGCAAAAGTCGGAATCCTGGTCCTGGTAGTTTTTCACGTGACCGAATCTGGGCATGGAAGTTTTAGGGTCTGGGAAGGCGACGGAGGACAAACTCTGGGAGGGCCAGTGCCATACATGTCCTACTATGGTACAGTAGTCGCGGCAATAGTAGTAGTAGTAGTAGTAGTAGTAGTTTGTAAGCGCAACCATGACTACCAGGTTACGGGCTTGTCCGGTCGCGCGCGCGCACGCGCGCGCGTGTGTGTTGTGTGTGGTGTGGGTGCGTGTGTGCACCTCTTGTCCCAACAGAAGTAGGTCGCAACGACTCGAGTGTGCTGTGCAACTTCTACAGTGACCAGTGTTCTGCGAGAGCTTCGCCAACGTTTTGCAAGTCAATGTTTGACAATATTCAAGGGACAGCTACAGAGCATGTGGGATTGTTGCCAGAAGACGCCCATTTACTCGGGTGAAGCACTGGGAGACGTCTTGGTAGTCTAGGTGTGTACCTGCATGGCCGCCCAAAGCACCCTTAATGCTGTTGAATCATAGTGGCCACAGATGTCAAAGTGAGCAGAAGCGAGAAGGAAGCGAAGATTTAACAATCTGGCACAAACAGCATCCATATGGGTGAGGATAACTGGTCTTCAAGTGTAAAAGCGTGCGTGTGCGAGCGCGCTGGTGGGTGTGTGTGTGTGTGCGGGTGTGTGTGTGTGTGTTTGTCTGTGTGTGTGTGTGTGTTTGTCTGTGTGTGTGTGTGTTTGTGTGTGTGTGTGTGTGGGAGTTGTACGTCGTAGTATAGTCTGAGTACAGTAACCAACCGCGACAAGAGCATATCGCCTGTACAAAAACCGGTATACACAGGGCTACGACGCTTCAGGGCGCCGGAGGTACACAACCCAGTCACGTTCGGAATGACGCCAAGAAACAACTGACACGATAGGCGAGTTGGGTCAGGACGAGCCGGTAAATGCTCGATTTAGACCATCCAGAAGCCCCTGTCACTGAAACCAGCGCAGACGCCATAGTGCAAACTGCCCCACTGCAAGACCCTCCTCCTCAGTGTCATTGCGCTTCCGATCCTTCTCTTCGACCACCTGGCGTAAAGCATCTGGCAGCTGGCTGTGAGATGCTCAAGGACTGTGAACTGATGAGAGGTGAGTAAGGCATTGGAGCACGAGAGAAGCTCATGATATCTCCTCCCCTATTCTCCCGAACGCCGACTGCACGCGCTGAGCGGCCTGATGGTGTAGCAACTCGCCCGGAAAGCTGCCGCAGCAGTGGGGCAACCATGCGACGTCAGAAACTCCCTGGCTCTTCGGATTTCATGTTCTTCTCGAAAACTGCCGGAAAGTATAATCAAATTTACGGCGTTACGGAAAGATAGCACCCACAGAGGCTGAATCATACGGTTAGGCTGATAGGGTTACGACGTATGAGTGCAATCAGTTCGCAGCCTGAGCTGTCGAGGTTCGGCACACCCTAAACCTGCAGGTTGCAGGCTACGGAAACCCTCCCTGCTGTTCCTGCCGGGGTGGTGGAGGCGTCAAGCGATCGGCCGCAAGCTTCTGGACCATGGCCTGTCTATGGATTGAAAGGCCGGAAAGTTGCAAGTTTCAGGAGCTCAGGGTTCAGAGTGTAGCAGCTACTGTAAACCGCGGTGTCTTAGATGCTCACGGTTTTGGTAGTTTCATAGCTAACCTGCACCCCGCAGAGCACCTTGACATAAATGTGCGGTCTCACGACCCCGAGGTTTCTCCGCTTTGCGATTCGACACAGAATTTCAGCATATTGCTTTGCGCTGCTTCTTGTGTTGCCCGTAGACAAAACTGGTGCTTGTAAAGGCTCATGTGCGCAGCAATATCACTGTAGTGGCAATGAAAACGAAATAGAACTGAAAGACGGCTGAATGTAAGAATCGTGACAACGACAACAATACACTGCAACGTAGAAATGCATTATCAGCATACTCGCTGCAATGAAGATCGATGCTGCTTGTGTCTATGCCCTCGAGCCTAGGCAGTTCCACAGCAATAGCTCAATTACAGATTAACGTGCCTTGTTGAACGCAAGGGTGCTCTCAACCAACAGCTGCTGAGAGCTTAGGAGGTCGTCCCAGCTTCCTGATTTCAGGCTTTGGTATGCAGCTCGGGCTTGCAAGCTGAGGTTAGGGGCAGGGTCACGGTTGCGGCTTTCGTGGGCTCGGGCTGAAGAGAGAGTTGGGAGCTGGGATTTTGGCTCGGGTATCTGGAAGGGTGTCCCAGTCGAAGATGGACGACCATCCATGATGCCAGAACTAAACAAGCGAATCGAAGGCCTGTCTAGGATCTGCAATTCGGGTGGAGGGAGGAATTTCTCATGTGACACCCCGCTTGTGTTAAAGCCGAGATCGCTGGGCTATCAAGAAAATCGACATTATTATCCTTATGGCTTGGTTCTCAGAAAGGGATTCGAATGTCGGGAACTCTGAGAGTTCTCCAAGCATCTGCTGACCAAGATGTGGTCATCTGCAGTGGGAGCGCTGGGGGCTGTGGTCGCCATCGCTGGAAAACCCTGCATTCCGATTCCCAAACCCAGGTTTCATGATGCTGCTGTATCCGACTTCGACACCGAAGCGAGCCAATACTTTTAAAAACTAATGCTGTAGTGACTGCTTGACATCTTGTCTTGCCGTGTGGGCGCAGGGTAGACTTCCATGGTTCAAGGAGTGCTTGGACTGCTCGTGCTTCCGAAACCTGAAAGAAGTAGCCTGCGTGACTGTCCTCTTTCCGCGACATCAGACTACAAGGCAAATGCTAGCCGCTGCTGAGCATATCCGATGGCATGGCACGCGGCGATGCTGGGCGTCAGGTTGTTTTGAAAGGAATGCGCCCGGCAGCGGTTGTTGCTAGCCAGCAGCGCTTGGTCTTTGATGGTCTATACTGACACTGCAGGTTGTGCTGTCTTGCTGATCTGGTCATTGGTGAAGACTTGGTGTCGAATCTTGTGAAAGCCGGTTCCTGCACGCGCATTGCGAGGATGTATGGGTTTGCATGGTAAGAGGCTGCCCTGCCTGGCAGCGAGCCCAGCAGAGTGAGCCCGCGGCTCACTGTGCAGAAAGGTTCGCAGCAAACGAGAAGGCTTGTGGAAACGGGCGGGACACATGTAGCTGCCAACTTGAGCCTAACTTGGGTCTGTTTCGGCGATGCTTAGGATTTGGTCTTCCCAGTCTTAGCTCTGACCTGAAGCTGTTCTGCATGGTGCAGTTTTGAGCATTGGCACGCTTGAGCAGCAAAGGTGCAGTTCGGGCTGCAAAAGAAAATCCGAAACTTGAGCCCTGAGGTCGGTGGCTAAAGCTGTTGCAGTCATGGACGCTTGTAAGGACGTTTAATGACGTTTAACGATCTGTCCGTTCATGTGTGCCTGCGCACTATACCTGTCTTGTACATTTCGCATAATTCTGTGACTGTGTGAACAAGTATATGAGAAGACGTGTCTATAAAGACATATTATTGTTCACGAAAGGCAATACACAAATACCGGAACACAAGGACCTATTATACACACATCCATCTGTGCTCCGAGCCTTGGTCGTCGTCGCACCTGGCCGGCTACCTCGGTGCAGGCGCTCTGGTTGGAAGCGGCACCGGCAAGTAACCTTTGCATCCTACATCATGAAGTCTGCAGTTTAGGCCCTGTTTTGGCCCCAAGACCGCAAGGTAGTTTGGCTGTAGTGTAGCTTAAACCCCAGACGGCCCCTGAACCCAAAAGTCCGGCAACACAGCAAGTAGCTTGTCCGACGCAGCGGTGTAAATCTACAGTGCATGATGGTCCATGCAGAAAGGGCATGCTTGCGCCTACCGGGGATCTAAGCTGTGGAAAGCTTTCAAGAGTCTGAGAAGACTGAAAGGTCGATTCGGAGCCTCTCTCCGAGACACGACAATGGCCCGCTAAAACACGGCCGCTCCCAGAGTTCTGAGAGTTCGGTATCAGCGGCCCAGTACCAGTATCTGGTTGTCTCGAGAGATGGGTTGTGAGCGGCCAAGAACCACCAGCTTTGCCAAGTCATGTGCTCCTCTTTTTGATTTGGAGCCACGAACTCACACCCTTGTGGGCCGCTGTGGAATCTCGCACCCTCCAGGGCCTTTGCTTGTGCTGCATGCCAGGACCCTGCCACGACACATGGACACGCCTCGTGTCTTCACT